CCTGCTGCACAAGCACAAGGACCCGAGTTTGATCCCTGTGAACAAAAAAAAAAAAAAAAAGAAAAGAAAAGGTGTTGAAATATGTGAAATACTTTACGCTAATTGAGATAATCGTGGTTTTTTGCTCTTTATTCTATTAGTGTGGTAGACTACAAGGATTAATTTTCCAATATTAAACCAACATTGTATTCCTGGGATGAACCCCACCCACTTTATCATAGTCCGTAATCCTTTTTATATATTGCTTTTTTTTTGGTACACGTGGATCGAACTCAGGTCCTTGTGCTTGCACAGCAGGCAGCAAAACCACTGAGCTAAATCCCCGGCCCCTTGCTAGATTATTTTGGTATTACCTTACTGAGGATTTTTACATCTCATAAATATACGTTGAGTAACATGAAAATTAGAGTCCTTTTGTATTAACAGTAACCCCCATGTTCAGAATTCTTTATAATTTAAGTGAGCTCTCATGAATTAAATTTATTCTCAGAATAGTCAAGGACCATTAGAACAACTCACATGACCTTATCTGATCTAAGCTATCCATCTGGAAATCTAGCCATCATCCGAGTGCCCAACCAGAAGAACGGTTTCATTTGTATAGTCCAGGAAGATACATCCACTAACCCTGCCATCCTGGCAGTTCTGGATTCCTCCGGCAAAATTTCCTGCTACCATCCCAATGGAAATGTTTGGTAGGCTTCTAAGTTCCTTCTGTTGCCATTATTGGTTTTTTGGTTGGTCTTGTGGGCTTTTCATTTCTTTTCTTTTTTGGTTTTGTGATGCTGGGGATGGAACCCTGGACCTCTAAATGCTAGAGAATTGAGAGTTCAAGGCCAGACTGAGCTGTGTATCAAGTTCAAGGCCCAGACTACGTAGCAAGATCTTACCTCAAAAAAATCAAAGGAAAGAAGGGAGAGAGGGAAGGAAGAAGGGAAGAAGAGAGGAAGGAAGGAGTGAAGGAGGAAGGAAAGGAAAGAAGGAAGGAAGGAAAGGAAAGAAGGAAGAAAAGTAAGAAGGAAGAAAGGAAGGAGAGAGATCTGAATCCCATTTTGATCTACTAATATATATATACTGCATGGCTTTATATTTTTCATATAGCCTGACAAAGTAAAATTTGGGTTTTAAATTTAAATATAATTGCTTTCATAAATAAATATTCTATATTTTTAAATTATTTATAGATATGACAATCTCAGGAACCTCTGCCGATAATTGGTAAAGTTTGGGCACTGTCAGTACTTGAGAAAATTGAGACACAGTGAGCTATTTGGTTTTTTTTGTTTTTTTGTTTTTTTAAAAAAATTCATTAAGTTTATTAGTACATTTCGGGTGTACAATACAATGACATTCATCATTGGGAATTTGTACCTTTAAATGATATATTTTAGTTCTTATTTTTTCCCCATTCCCCTGCCCTCCCTTCAACCCCTTCACCCCTCCCTATTTACAAAGACTTTGTTTCCATTTTTTCCTTTTCTCATATTTATTGCTGTCCCTTCTTTCCTTTCCCCTGCTGCTACCCCTCACACTTTTCCTTCCCCTTTGGACCTTTTCTTCCTATTTCACATTATCTGTTATACATTTTGATCCTTATTTACACTCTTAGTTTCTCACACCAGAGAAACTATTTAGTATTTACACATGTGTGTCCTATTTATTTCACTTAAGAGTGTTGCCTCAATGTGTATCCATTTAGCTCTAAATGTCTCTAGTTTCTCATTCTTTCTGGCTGAGTAGTACTCCATTTATGAAAAAAAAACACATTTTCTTCATCCAGTCTCCAGTTGATGAGCAATTGGGCTGGTCCCAAGTTTTAGCTATTACAAACTGTGCCATTATAAACATGGGTGCACATATATTGCTGTGGTATGATTCTTTTACTTCTTTTGTGAAGAAAGCCACCAGGGGAATAGCTGGGTCACATTAGACCTGTAATTCTAGTTTTTTGAGGTATCTCCATGTTGATTTCCACAGTGGTTGCACCAGTCTACACTCCCACCAACAGTGGAGATGGGTTCCTTTTTCCCCACAGCCCTGCCATCTTTTGTTATTGGTTGATTTCTTGACAACAGCCATTCTTTCTGGAGTGATGTGGAATCTCAATGTTGTTTTCATTTGCATCTCTTACATGAGCAGTGATGTTGAACATTTTTTCTTATGTTTATTAATGTTTCTTCTTTATCTGAGAAATGTCTGTTCATTTCAGATGCCCAGTTTTGGACTGGGTCTTCAAATTTGGCAGGTTTGATTTTTTTTTAAGTTCTTTATATATTCTAGATAGGAGACCTGTGTCTGATAAAAAGTTTTTTCCCACATTGTGGGTGGTCTCTTCATGCTATTGGTGGTTTCTCTTGCTGTGTTGAAGCTTTTTAATAAGAAGAGATCTCACTTGTTGATTCTTTGTGCTAATTCACGTGCAACTGAAGTTTTGTTCATGAAATATTTTCCTACACCAATGTCTTCAAGAGTTCTATCTAACCTCTCTTCAAGCTTTTAATATTCTTCCAGTTTTAATATTTAGATCTTTGTTCCATTTTGATTTTACTTTCATGCACTGTGAGAGATATAGGTCTAGTTTTAATCTTTGGCAAGTTGAAACCCAATTTTTCCAGCACCATTGATTAAAGAGGCTATCTTTCCTCCAGCAAGGGCTTTTGGGTCCTATGTCAAAGATGGGGTGCCTGAGTTTGTCTAGAGTTGGTTCTGCATCTTTTAATCTGTTCCACTGGTCATCAGGTCTGTTTCTTTGCCAGTACCATGCTCTTTTTATCACAGTAGCTTTTTAGTATAGTTTCAAGTTGGGGATTGTGATAGCCCTTCCTTGCCTTTGTTGCTTTTGCTATTCTAGTTCTTGTTCCAAAATAATTTTTGGATTGTTTTCTCAAGGTCTGTGTAGTATGCTGCTGGAATTTCAATTGGGATGGCACTGAATCTATATAGCAGTTTTGGGAGTATGGCCGTTTTCACTATATTGGTTCTTCCTGCCCAAGAGCAAGGGATGTCTTTCCATTTTCTGATATCCTTTTCAATCTCTTTTTTCTGAGTGGTCTAGTTTTCAGAGTAAAGGTCTTTGATTTCTTTCATTAGGTTAATTCCTAAGTATTTCTTTCTTTTATTTTTTCTTTTTTTTTGGATGTCATTGTGAAGGGAATTGTTTCTTCAGTTCCTCTTTCAGTGATTCTGTTGTTTGTGTAGAGGAAAGCTATTGATTTTTGTGTGGTGACCTTGTATCCAGCTAGTCTACTAAATTTGTTTATTAAGTCTAGAATACTTTTGGTGGAGTTCTTGGGGTCTTTTATATAGAATATCAAGTCATCTGTAGATAATGACAATTTGAGTTCTTCATTTCCTATCTTTTTCCTTTTATTTCTTTCTCTTGTGTCATTGGTATGATTAATGTTTCCAAAACTATATTGAACAGGAGTGGTGATAGTGGCATCTTGTTTCGTTCATTATTTTAGTGTGAAGGATTTCAGTTTTTGACCATTTAGTATAGTATGTCAATGGAGTTTTTAATCTCCTGGAAATCTGTTTGCATCTGTTCTATAGATTCCATTTGTTTCTTGTTGTGGGATTCCATCATGTTCCTGAGTGCCTTTATTTTTTTATCTGTGTCTTCTCTAGAGTTATTAATCTTGTCTTTCACTGTGGACTCAATCTCTGTTATCTCAGAAATTATGTCTGATTTTATTTTTTCCAGATCTTCTTTTGTTGCCAGATGAGGGATTCCAGGTGGTTGAGTTTCAGATTGTTATCTCCTTGCCCTTGGGGTTGCCTTTGGTGATCTTGAAGTCTGGTTTTGAGACTTGTTTAGATGTCTTCTCACTTCAACTGCTGCAGTCTGCTGCACCTTTGTTTTGGTGACACTGCTCACCCAGTGGTCTTCAATTCTCAACAAGCCTCAGAGAGGCCTTCTCTATGCTTCTCACCACTGTGCCAATACCAGGGTTCAGAACAATGGCCTTCTGGATCTCTTCTCTGGGTTGTTTCCTCGGACTGGGGCTTGTGCACCTGTGCAGCTGCTTTTCAGGGAGGCCTTCAGCTGGGCTGTGCACACCGAAGTTGCTGGTGTCTGGGCGAGGCACTGGCTGGGGGCTTGCACTCATGCACTATTGCCTGGGTGGGCTCCTGGCTGGGGGGTGTGCTGCTGAGCCGCTGGTGTCTGGGTGGGCTTCTGGCTGCCATCTGCTGTAAGTCATTTCTGACACCCATCTTCCTGAAAGCTGCATGCTGCTGCATTCTAGTCTTTTCTTGCAAATTGACATCACTGCAGTAATGCAGTTTGAGTTTGAGTTTCTTTATCTTTCCCTTGGATGACAGTTTGTAGAGGTTTCAGTCCATAGTCTTCTGGCTTCATGGCATGGTGGCATAGGAAAAGGGCATTACAGAGAAGAAACAGTTCATGGCCAAGCCGGCAGGAGGAAGCAAAACAGCAAAGCAGCAAGCTGTAATGGCATTTCCCTTTTATCTCATCCAATGAGCTATTTGTTTTTAATCCAAAGCAGTAATCAATCCATTACCATCATGTATATTGGAAATTTTCCATTTACCTTTCAGGATTCAATAGTAATTTTATGTTACATTTTGTGGAGTGCTATAATCATTATCAGCCATATTAATTAGTTTCTAGAGTAGAGACCAGCTGGTTTAATGGAGCCACTGACTCACGAACTGAGCTGCTGGGCACTCTGACTTGCCCTTAATATTCCCATAGCCACTTCTCTCTGTCTTGTATAGCATGTCCATTTCTCTCCTGCTGGACTTGAGATCCTTGAAAGGATATCCTGAATCTTTGCCATTCTATAGCAGTCTGTCTATACATGGTTGGGACTCAAAGAGTGCTTATTAAATAAATAAGGGACAGATTTATCCAGATAATGTTAGCCAAATATTAGTTATTTTTACTACATTTCAAGATAAAAACAAATCTTCTTGTTTCCAAATCCAACAGGATAATCACCTCAGTTTTTCATTTATGCTTTTGCTTAGATTACTAATCTAAGTACTAAGTACACTAATCAGTACTGGGGAAGTGAGATATTAGTTATCTTCTCTCAGGCAATTCATAGTAGTTTTTTAAAAAATAATAATTTATTGTCAAATTAAGCCTACTTTCTAAGTATTCAGAACTCTCCTCAAGGTGGGGATGATGATCCCAGTTGGAATAAGGTAAGAGTATGGAAGGAGATGATGGGGTCGAATGACATGGTGATTAATGCCACCAGATCTTAAGAGTGTGTATGGCTAAATCTGTATGTAATGTGGTAAATATGGGCCGCTGGCAGTGCTGAGATTGGAGAGGCCTAGATGGTGATGTCCCACTGCCACTGTGGTACAGAGCTCTTTCCCAGGCCTCTTCTGCCACATCCAGCCCTCATGAGCCATCTCCATGGAGGACACCTGGATCACAGTCAGTGGGCACTGTTAGAAAGCAGCTTTCTCATACTGTGATCAATTTGGACTTCCCCAGCATTTATTTCCACTGATCTACATTGTGGCCTAGTGAAAATCTAACCAGTAGCCTCCCCTCTTTCAGGAATAGCTTCCTCTCCTGTATCCATCCCCTCTTTCCCAAATGAAACCACCCCTACTCCCTCTTTATCATCCCAGCCACTCTGTGGACCCACTTTGGTTTATCAGTATGGTGTCAAATTGGACCCAGTACTTCAAATTAGTATAGAACTCCATCCTAGTGTTAGTATGCCTAAGATCACCTAAGGTTTCCATCACTCATATACTATTGACTAGCATGAACTATTACTGCCTTTGGTTAGCAAATGACAGGGCCAATTCCAGCATTGAATTATAGTGTTACAGTTTATAATTTTTAATTTCCTTCCAGGGTCTACATCAACATCTTGGGAGGTCAATATTCAGATCAAGCTGGCAACAGAGTAAGAGCTTGGAATTGGTCAAGTTCCGTCACTTCTTCACCACTTGTTTCATTTAAACCTATCTTCTTAGCTTTGAACCATAATATTGGGATTCGCATCTTAGAGCAAGACAAGATTTCCATCACTTTTCTAGCAATGGGCCAACAGGCAACAATCAGTGTTGGATCCAAAGTGAAGGTAGGCGCATTATTAATATACTTTAAAGCATTTAAATTAGTAACATTAAAATAACTTTTGTTAATGTTTTTACTAATATATTATGCACATGCACAATCTACAGTCCACTAAGAATTTTGGAACTCAATGAAAAATGCAGTGAAAGTTTCATATCAAATCAAAGCAGGCTTACTGTTTCTTTTCTCCTGAAACTCCTTTTAGTTCAGACTTGGATCCAAATGCCACAGGAGTGTTTACTTTGTGACTGGATAGTGTTGCTTTGGAGGTTTTAAGATTTGTATTATGTTCACATTTTCCCTGCTTTCCCATATTTTCCCTGCTATGGCAGAAAAGCTCTGGGCCAGGCTAAGTGACATGGGTTTTAATCAGGTTCAAACCCACGCCTAAGCTGCCCCTCCTCGGAGACGTCTCCCAGAATTTGACATTTACCTAGTCAGCGACAACCATGTCAGTCTGAATTTTCCGCCAGTTTTCTCCAGTCCTTGTGCTTACTGAGTCAGGCTGCCTTTCTTCCTGGAGGGTGGGAGACACCCTTCTTCCCGCCTTCCTGACTCTGTGATCCCTAGTGCCTGGCTAAGGGCACAGCTCTGTACATTCAGTGACCGGCAATAATGCACAATGGCTAAGGACAGAGGCTTCAAGTTACAGTCTCTAGTTCCACACCTAAGCTCTGCCACTATCTCAGCTAAGGAAGTGAATTTGAACTAGTTTCTCATCCACAAAACAGGATAATAATTCCAACCTCACAATTGTTTCAAACATTCAATGAGAGCAAAGTACTAAATATGATACTTGACACTGAATACTCAGGAAACAGTAACTAGATATAGATTTAGAGACAGATATGTATTGAGATTTATGTGTTTCTATATACCTATATAACATATAGAGTGACTTTAAATAAGTTCCCTTCAACTCTGAGGACCTTTGTTTAATCCATTTTTAAGGAAGAAGTTCATGCAAACTTCAAGGGTGTCTTCAACTTCTAGAAATCTGTTTTTCTTTGTTTTTGTTTTGGTACCAGGGATCGAACTCAGGACCTTGTACTTGTAAGGCAGGTGGCGGCACCACTGAGCTAAATCCCCAGCCCTAAACCTGTATTTTTAAGTATATGGAAATATGACCTCAATATTCAGCTCAGGCAGAATAGCCCATGGACAGCAAACAAAAGGGAGATGGCAGATTCAGACAACACAAAGTGAGGGTCTACAATGTGCTAAGCACTGTTCTAGCTACTTTCAGTCAGTCTAGCTACTTTCATCAGCTGTTTTGGCTCCAGACAAGATTCAACCTTCTTTCTAGGTTAGAAATTTACAGTATAATCTCCTTTTGGTACATTACATCCATGGTAAATACATATATTTTCTCTTTCTCTCCCTCCCTGTTTCCCTTTTCCCCTCCCTCCTCACATTTAAAAAATTTTTTATTAGTATTCATCATCAAAGAGTCAAAAACGTATTACAGTGATACATACATATCCATGTTTATAGCAACACAGTTCATAAAAGCTAATTCTCAGAAGCAGCCTATATGTCTCTAAAAAGATGAATAGATGGGGCCAAGGACTTAGCTCAGTGGTTCCACCGCCTGCCTTGCAAGTGCAGGGTCCCAAGTTCGGTCCCCAGTACCGCCTCCCGAAAAAGATGAATGGAGGTGCCTCATTTCTATGAGCACCTGCACTCTGCTCTTGAGTGTGTCCTATATCTACCTCTAATAAATCCTTCTCATGTCTCTTTTACTGATGCATCCTGAAAATTCTTTTTCTGAGATAGGAGTCAGCAAACCTGCAAACTTATTTTAAAAGGGTGGGTTAAGTTCCTTATTTTAATCTCAGGGACCCTTAGACCTGGCCCAGTGACATTTATCCTGGTGACCACAAAGAGACCTAAAAAGAGACATGGAGACTGGAGAAATCTGGACTTTGGTTTGATCAGTCAGGATGAAGCTTTCAGTCCCTGGCTAGATGAGATTAATGTCCCTTCTCAGCCTGAAGCAGTTACTGAAGATGGACAGTCAGCCTGCTGTATCCCCTTAAGAATAAAGGACCCAGGGCTGGGGATTTAGCTCAGTGGTTCTGCTTGCCTCGCAAGAACAAGGTCTGAGTTCAATCCCTGGTACCAAAAAAAATCAACTTGGACAAAGAAAATGTGGTTTTTCTATAAAATGGAATACTACTCATCCATGAAGAATGAGAAATTAGAGACATTTATAGCTAAATGGATGCACATGGAGGAAATACTCTTAAGTAAAATAAATAGGAAACTGAAAGTGTAAATAAGAACCTAAAAGGTAAAATAGATAGTGTGAAATAGTAAGAAAAGGGGCAAAGGGGAAGGGGAAGTGGGAGGGGTGGGGAAAGGAAAGAAGGGAATGGAATTAATATGAGAAAATGAAAAAATGGAAACAAAGTCTTTGTAAATAGGAGGGACAGAGGGGTTGAAGAGAGGGCAGGGGAATGGGGAAAAATAAGAACCAAGATATATCATGTAAAGGTGCAAATTCCCAATGATGAATGTCATTATATTGTATACCTAAAATGTACCAATAAAACTAAAAAAAAGAAGAAGAATGGACCCAAGTCTGGGGGTAGGGAGCAGAAAAGAGCTGCATTGGAGACAGCAAGTATATCTCCACTTTAGAAGCATATAGATGGCTTGCATGGTAACCTGGTAGACAGTGAGAATAGACATCCCAGATTGCCTGTCTTGAAGATAACCTTTAAATGAGCCCTATTCTGGCTTGTAATGTGCCTCCTTTCCCTGGGCACCTCACTCTGCTCTTGAGTGTGACATCTATCTAGCTCTAATAAATCCTTCTCATGTCTCTTTTTTAAAAAGACGGATAGGGCCAGGGATTTAGCTCAGTGGTTGCGACGCCTGCTGCGGAAGCGCAAGGACCCGAGTTCAATCCCCGGTACCAAAAAAAAAAAAAAAAAAGATGGATAGGAAAAATTATGAGAAAAGAAAAAAATGGAAATGAAATCTATGTAAATAGGGAAGGGGGGTGTGAAGGGCACACAGGTAATGGGGAAAAAAATAAGAACCAAGATACATCATGTACAGGTGCAAGCACCCAATGATAAATGTAAATGTATTGTATACCTAAAATGCACCGAAAAAAGAATTTAAGCAAAAAAAAAAAAAAAAAAGATAGATAGGGCCAGGGATTTAGCTCAGTGGTTCTGCCTTGCAAGCGCAAGGACCTGAGTTCGATCTCCGGTACAAAAAAAAAAAGATGGATAATGAAAATGTGCTATTTATACATTGTAGAGAACTACTCCACAATAAAGAAGGATAAATTTGAGTCATTTGTAGGAGATGCACCTTGAGACAATAATGTTAAGTGAAATAAATCAGACACACAAGCTTAAATATTGCATAGTTTCACTTCTATGAGAAACCCAAAGTATAAATGATTTAAAGAGCAAACTAAAAGATAAACAATAGGACATAAAGAGATAGATCTTTTGCAAATGGACAGGGCACCACAAGATGGAAGGAGGGAAGAGGAAGGGGAAGTAAAAAGAATCCAGGTATGTTATGTACATATACTACCTCCCCACGTTGAGTCTGAGCTTCCTTGTCCTTTCTCTTTCCTGTAAAGCTACCCCACCCTGAGGAAGTCCCAGTCCTTTGGTACCTGAGTGGAGAGGACCTTCTGCTGATGGCCAGTTTAATAAAGATTCGACGGCTGTTTCATAAGCTAGAAGGATGCATGAATTTTCCCTCAAGCAAGATTTGGGAAAAATTAAAGCAGCCGTCCTACCTTTCTTCACTTTCTCTAAAACTAATTGCCCTCTGTCAGAATTCTGGTATAAAGGAAGATAAACTTACAACAATTATCAATATAGTAAATGAAAACATTTAAAAAGAATGATGATGCTTCCATTTGCTAAGGGTTGGTTTTTCTGTGTGTGTTGGTGGGGGGGATCAGAAGGCATTTTTTTGTGTTTTGTTTTTTGTGCTTTTTTGTTTTAGTGTTCCAAATGACAGGGAAAGACCAAGAAATCTGCTGCTTTATAAATTTAGAAGACATCCTGAATCATTACTGGCTTACCTTCTTGGTTGGAAAAAGCAAAGTGTTGGTGTCTGTTGGAGAACAGAGAGCAGAGAGGGACTAGTTGCTGACCAGTCCCCCGGAAGGGCTGGGCACGTAAAAGCCCCTGCTGACTTTCAGGAGAGTCAGAGTGAAGCAAGCTCAGGAAGCCACAGAGTCACTCACCACTGATGATCTTTGCCACCACAACACCCACATGAAGACTGGCAGGAAATCTTCTGGAAGTTGGCGCAGCATCCATCACCATAGTGCAGGAAATGCGAGAAACCACCACATGCCCAAATGCTCTCCTCCTCCTCCTCCTGCCAAGGAGGAACAAGGGCTCCTCCTCCTCACCTACTTTGCAGACTTCCGACATGTACCTCTCACTGGGGAATCACATGAGAAGCATCTGGCAAAGTTGCAGAAAATTATGTATTTCCCCATTTCCTGTGTTATGGAAGGGAGGAGGGATATTGCTGAATCCACTCAATCAGGTTGATCTAGAACAGAGAGCAGAGCTGAGATTTGGGGGGAGGGTGCTAAAGACACAGAGGTGTACCTGAGCCCTGCAGCTCCTAAACTTCCTGGGACTTAGTTCTCTGTTCTTTGAGAGAGGAAAGGATGCAGTTTCAGGGGACACGCCTAAATTCCAAGCTTGGCACTAATATGTAACCACAGGGATTAAACCTGCCCACCATTCATAAAAATACTAAATATTTTCCTAACAGAGCTAAATGGAAGGGAAAACACTAAGTGGAAGCATGGAATATTTATTCTAGGGGCAATACTGCTAGGAGAAAAGGGACTGGTTCTTGCTGTTAATCCATCAACCACCTCCTCACCCGTCCCCTCATGCCTCTAGTTATCCTGCTTTGTAGGAACTTTGTTAACACTGCGGATAGTTTTATTTCTTTTTTTAAAATTTCCACTCTTGCTAATCCCCATTTCTATCTTTGTGAAAAAGAAGCTTTTGAATTCATATCTTAATTAATGCTAAATGTCTTTTTTTGATCTTAGCTTTTTCCTTCTCATTGTTGAAAGAACTTTCAGTTTCCATCGAGTGAAACAGATATATTAAATTGATTGACATAGTATATATCAGTAGAGCTCTAAAAAAATAACACATCACAACAAAACCCTAACTGAAATTTGTGTTTTTTACATCATTAAAAGCTACTTTTAGGGTGCTGCCCATAATAAGGTTTTGAATTAGATCTGAATGAGGTCTCTGAATAAGGTCTTAATTGAGATTAGCAGAATAATGGGATAACATCTTTTACCAAGTTGCTTCTCATTTAATGCCAGAAAGTTATTTTGAGTTATCTTTATTTTAATAAATTATAATTTGTCATATGTGATAAAGGATAGATGGTGCTTCTTTAAAATTTTATTAAAAATAAAAATGTTCCATAAAGGGAAAATATGGATGGCACTCAAATTACATTAGTTCAACTTAATGATTTTTCAGGTTTGCAGTGGTACAAAAGCAATAAACATTCAGTAGACACTGCACTTTGAAGTTTGAATTTTGATTTCTTTTTCCTGGGCTAGCAATAAGCAGTACAATACTCTGGAAGTGCCGGGAAGCGGCCAGTGAACTGCAGCTGCTGAGTCGGCCTCCTAAGCACCAACGTCAACAGCTGTGTTTACAGTGGACTGGGTTGCCAGCATTTCAGGGTATTGTGTTTTGTGTTTTCATATTTTATTGTGTCTACAAAAGCCGATCTGTGTGTACATGTGAGCTGTTCAACATTTTATTATAAAATAGGCTCTGTGTTAGATTTCACCCAACTACAGGTTTACAAATGGTCCTGAGTATATTTAAGCTAGGCTCTTGTGTTTGGTAGGTTATGTGTATTAAATGCATTGTTGACTTAAAATAGTTTCAACTTCTGATGGGTTTGACTTCGATATAACCCCATCGTAAATCGAGGATCTACATATCTACACTATTGGTATCATATTTCAAAGCAGTTATATTTATTCAAGGGCTTTTATTAAAGATGATAATAATGAATCTTATTCTGAGCATCTACTTATATCAAAAGTGGATTTGATATGTTTTAAATTTTCCATATCAATATCTGTTTTTCCATATGTCTGTTTTAAGTAATCTCAATTTGTAACAAAATCCTCTCCAACAAATGTAAACTCTTCTAGCTATAAAATTGCCATATGGTGATACTACATTAATTGAGGAAAAAGTATATAGATTATTCCTGATGTAAATGTTAAATTACTGATGTACTTAAAGCTTAAAGAAGTAGTATGAACCACTGTCTTTTTTCATTCCTGATCTCAGGAATATGAATTATTATTTTATTTATACATGTTATATTTAATTGACACTTTTTTGGACAGACAAAATGATCATCTTTTGAGAAAATAGAAATGCATTTCAATGTAACTGGCGGGTAAAGAAATTAAGACTTTTTGCTTCAGGTAAACATGGCAGCAAAGTGTGTTTGGCAAAGCCATGTAGGGATTAAGATGTAAGAAACACTTCCAGAGTATTCACCTGTACAAATATCATAGAATATGCAAAGAAAAGTAATTTAGACTATACTTTGTTGGTAGCTTGTCTTGCTAACAAAACTATTGCCAACTCCTTGTAGAAGATTTGGAGATTATAGGAACATACAGAGTTTTTAAAAGCACTCATAAACCTGTCACATAGAAATAGCTTTCTTTGTGCTCTATTTCTGTCCAGTTCTTTTCCCATGTTTGTGTTTGTGTATAGGTGTTGTGTTGTTTTTAGTTTCAAGCAGAGGAATCAGTCATTGCCAATAAGAATTTTCAAAGACAGGAAGTAAACTGAATTTGTACTCCCAAAAGGCACCCATAGAAAATTAATCTAGTGCACAGCTACAAAATAGGCCAACCAAATTAAAGGCATATTAATTGTTAGCAAACTGGAAATAAAGTATCTTATGAAATTTTTGGGATTTCTACTTTCACTAATTAATTTAGTATCAATTTATATAAAATAATCAACAAAGCAAAGGCTGTTAAGAGTCTAAACTGTTTTGAAGATAGATTTAAATAAAATTAATAACATTTGGAACACCATTTATATATTTAGAAGCAAATGTTACATTTTAATAATTTTTTTAATTCAGGGCAACAAAAGGCAAGGATGTAGCTAGGTGGTAGAGCACTTGATTAGCATGTTTGAGGGCCTGTGTTCAATCTCAGGGTCATAAAAAAAAAAAAAGGCAGCCAGGTGTGGTAGTGCACACCAGTAATCCCAGCACTTGGGAGGCTGAGGCAGGAGTATCACAGTGAGTTTGAGTCCAGCCTGGGCTACATAGTGAGTTCAAAACCAGCCTGAACTGTGTATCGAGACCCAGTCTCCAAAACAAAACACAGCAACAAAAAGCAGATTTTACTTCAAACCAAGTAATTTTATCCTGGTTATTCTATTGTTTTATTTCCCTTCAAGACAGTAAATATTATATATATATTTTTTTGCTTATGGTCTAATAAAAATAAAACAATTTTTAAATTGGTGAATATATATTAAGAAAATATACAAAATGAAGGGTAAGATTGTTTTGAGAATATGTCCTACAAGGACTAATATCTTTACTAAAATTGCAAGACAATAATCTGTAATGAAAATATAACCATCAAATGATGAAAGCATCCTTAAATTACACATTTTCATAGAGCCAATTTTTCCCCTATAACACAGAGTGAAATTTAGGAATCAGAGATACCTTGATTTAAGCCTACTATGGCTTGAATGTGGTTTGTCCCCTCTGATAGTCCTGTTGCAGTGTCATCTTCATTGTGAGGTAGTAAGAAGGTGGAAACTTAATTTGACAGTGGTGTTTTGAAGTGAGCCTTTGGGAGGTGATAAGGATCAGATGATGTCATTAGCATGGAACCCCCAAGGTTGGACAGTGGTGGCTTTACAGAAGAGGAGAAACTAGCTGGGGATTTAGCTCAGTGGTTTTGCCACCTGCTGCGCAAGCGCAAGGACAGGAGTTCAATCCCCGGTACCAAAAAAAAAAAAAAGGAGAAACCACAGATACACATACTCTCTCACTCCCTGCCTTGAGACTCTGCCATCACTAAATGTGGCCCCTTGACTTTAGACCAGAACAATGAGCCATAATAAACCTCTTTTGTTTATAATTTAACCAGTCTGCAGTATTGTGTTATTAGCAACACAGAGAACAGGTAAGTACAGAGCCAAACTAGCAAATCAAAGAGAGGTGATAAAAAGACTGTGTGTGTCCACAGGCAGGTGAGAGAACCATTAAAGAGTCTGTACAGCCTTATGGTACAGCCCAGCATTAGACAATGCGCAGAGAAGTCTAGGGAGGAACATCTTTCTATTTGCATCCTCTTTTTTACATACATGCACTACAGGACCTACACTGGGAAGTAAAAATGACAGTAAACATCTGTCCAAATCTTCAGAGATGATGCCCAATCATGTTATTTTCACAATACGTTTAACTATTAAGCAGAGGGACTATACACCAGAAAAATACTTCGCTTCTTGCTGTCTTGTTCAGTGAGAGCATATTAGCAACTGCCAAATTTTGAATGAAATAATGAATGAACAGATGAAGTGAAATCTCCTATCAGGCCCATACACAGACATAGAGCAAAATTCTGGGTGTATCTACTGCTATCTTCAGTATCTGGTAATAGGCTAATCAACTAATAAACTTGTGGATTGAGAACAAACTAAAATCAACTCATCTCAAAGCTTAGTATCCACTTCAGTCTGTTTATAGAAAACCTGATTTTCTCTGGAGTTGAGCTGCCATTGATAGCTCTATTAGAAATGTGGCAGGCACTCTCTTTATTTAAACTGCGTG